CTGTGCCTCCTGCATGCAACCCAACTGGGGATCGAGCCCACAACCTGGGCATGTCCCTGACCAGGAATCGAACCATGACCTCCTGGTTCACAGGTCCACACTCAACCACTGAGCTATACCAGCCAGGCTTGTTTTTTTTTTAATACCAGCACAAACTTTCCATCCAGGGTTTGAGCAGTAATTAACCAGAAAGTCAAGTTTATTATTCCCAAGTGCCAAATAGAAAGCAAACTGCAAACTTAATTTACCTTTGAAAATAAACTTTAAATTTGGAGGAGAACCAGAGTGCAGATGACTAAGAGTGCATAGAGAAAACTACCAAACAATGAGAGACTGCATCTATAAAAAGTATCAGGCCCTGGCCGGGAAGCTCAGTTGATTAGAGAGTCCTTCTGATACGCCAAGGTTGTGGGTTCTTTCTCCCACCAGGGTACATACAAAAAGCAACTAATGAAAGCAAAAATAAGTGGAACAACAAATCAACGTTTCTCTTTCTCTGTCTTTCACACTCTCTACTTCCTCTCTCTCTAAAATCAATAAATAAAATTTTTTTTAAAAGTATACTGGTTTCAAATGTACAATTCTATGATACATTATCTGTATATTGCACTGTGTACCCACCACCCAAAGTCAAATCTTCCATCACCACATATTTGATACCCTTTACCCTTTACTAAGCCCCTCTCCAACAACCTCTTTTTTTGAGGTATGCATGACTTGAAGCATATAGCATTCTTTTATATGGAATTTATTTCTGCACTTAACACTTATGGCCATAGAGGGCAAACTATATAGATATTAGATATATCCTTCAACTTTGCTTCTATGGTGCTGTTTTCATCCCTCACCTTAATACAAAGGCTAATGTGATAAACTTTATGATGTAAAAGGTATTAATGTCCTTGACTCAAAGAGTCACTTCACATTCCATTAGGAATCCAGTTCCATTAGGAATGCAATTTATAAACACAGAGAAATTAACAAATGTTGATGAAATGTGCAGAAATTGGAACCCTCATGCATTGTCAGAAAGAATATAAAAGGGCACAGCCACTTTGGAAAATAGTTTGGCAGTTTCTCAAAAAGTTAAACATAGAATTACCATATGATCCAACAATTCCATTCGTAGGTATGCACGCAAAAGAATGAAAAGCAGATACTCAAACAGATATGTGTACATTCATGTGGATAGTAACATTATTCCCAATTGTCAAAACGTGGAAACAACTCAAATGTCCATCAACATATTAATGGATAAATAAAATGTGATATATATATATAGATATATAGATATATCCTATATAATAAAAAGCTAATATGGTAATTAGACTGGACAGCTGAACAACCATTCAGACAACCTTCCAGATGACCTTCCAGACAAAACCGAGGCTGTGAGGGCCGAGGCAGCCAGGGCTGCAAGGGCCGAACCCCTTGCATGAATTATGTGCATCAGGCCTCTAGTATAAATATAATAGAATATGATACAGCCTTTTAAAAGGAATGAAATTCTGACACATGCTACAATATGGATAAATTTTAAGACATTATGCTATGCAAAATAAGCCAGACACAATAGAGCAAATATTGTATGATTCCACATTATGAGGTACCTAGATTAGGCAAATTCACAGATACACAAAATAGAAGTTACCAGAGGCCAGAAAAAGGTGGGGATGGGGAGTTACTGGTTAATGGGTATAGAGTTCTTATTTGGGATGATGAAAAAGTTCTGGAAATTGAGAGCAATGATGTTTACACAACATTGTGAATGTACTTAATTCAGCTGTACACTTAAAATGATTAAATGGTAAATTTTATGCTATATTTTACATTCAATAAAGAATAAATGCTAAAAATAGGCTCAAGGCAGAGGCTTTCTATGTGCATCTTGGTAGTAGAGCAGTGGCATGGAATGCAGCCCATAGCCAACCTACTAGTACACAAATACTAGACAAACACAAGCAGTTTCAACATTGCTGGGCAAGATACACTGTCACCCTGGGTTTAGCAAAAAGCACTGACATCCAAAAATCATTTCCAAGTCCTCTTAAGGCTTGGTTTCCTGGCTTCCTCTCAATCATCCCCATCTGTCCACAAGAATAGAACCAGAGAGCCGGAACAGCAAAAATCTGAAAGAAGTCCAAAACCAGGGGCTGCCTGTTGGCAAGTTACTAATCAGAAGCCAATAAGGACTTCAGCAGTGCCAAAGCCCTGTTCTCAAAGAGTCAACAAGTTTGCAAAGACACATATCTTTCTCTCCCTCTTTAAATCTTTTTATTGAGCCCTAACTGGTTTGGCTCAGTGGATAAAGTGTCAGCCTGCGGACTCAAGGGTCCCAGGTTCGATTCCGGTCAAGGGCATGTATCTTGGTTGCAGGCACATCCCCAGTAGGGAGTGTGCAGGAGGCAGCTGATCGATGTTTCTCTCTCATCAATGTTTCTAACTCTCTATCCCTTCCCCTTCCTCTCTGTAAAAAAATCAATAAAATATATATTTTTTAAAAAATCTTTTTATTGAAGTACTAGAGGCCCAATGCACAAATTCATGCATGGGTGGGGTCCCTTGGCCTGGCAGGTGATCAGGACCAATCGGGGCTGCCTCCCACCCCAATCAGGGTCTGGGGCCAATTGAGGCAGGCCAGCCGGTGGGAGGGACTATGGAAGGTTGGCTGGCTGACCCGCCCCAATTGGCCCTAGGGCAACCAGCTGGGGGGAGGGGCTACCCCTTCAGGGCCGATTGGGGCAGGCAGGCCCAGGGAAGGGGACACAGGAATTTGGCCAGCTAGCCCACTCCAGTCAGGGTCAATGGGGGCAGGCCTTGGGGGAAGGGGTTGCTTGAGGCTGGCGGGTCGGCGGTGGGGTGACCAGACCGGCAGCAGGGGCAGTAAGAGGCAACCAGGCCAGCAGGGGTGGGGGGCAGTTAGGGGTGACCAGGCCAGCAAGGGGTGCAGTTAGAGGCGATCAGGCAGGCAGGCAGGTGAATGATTAGAAGCCAGCAGTCCAGGGTTGTGAGAAGGATGTCCCACATTTGAGAGGGTGCAGGCTGGGCTGAGGGGAACCAACGCCCCCCCGCCACCCCTGCACAAATTTCTAGTATTATTTATAAACCCCAGTTAAAGAAATATTAGGAAGTACTATAAAAACTTTCTAGAAAGGTCTTAGATATGTATATTTTCATAATCCTACCCAAATGATAAATACTTAAGACAAAATAAAATAATCACTACTGCTATAATAAAAAATGAATAGTCTGGCCCTGGCTGGTATGGCTCAGTTAGTTGGGCATCATCCTGTGAACCAAAACTTCACCAGTCCAATTCCCAGTCAGGGCACATACCCAAGTTTTGTGGGTTCAATCCCCAGTCGGGGTGCAGACAGGAGGCAGCCAATTGTTTTTCTCTCACATTGATGTTTCTCTCCCTCTCACCCACCCCCGTCCCTTCCTCTCTCTCTAAAATCAATAAAAACATATATCTTTTAAATGAATAGCCTGTACAAATTACTGGTGAAATATCTAAGTGTACTTATCGTACCTTGCTAATCTATCAGATTTTTGGTCTAGGAACAAAAGAAAGCCCATATAACACAATGGTTAAGAGAATGGACTTTAAGGTCAGACACATCAAAGTCAACAAAGGCAATCGCATTATTTTATAATAACTAAATAAAAGTTCCTCCAAATATATCTATTTTAAAGAAGAATTACATTTTTTAAAAGGAATTATATTTTAAATTAAAAACAAAGTCATTACGGAATTACAGACAATGAAAAATTCTAAGAAATTCAAGAAGGGAATATAAGAGGAAACCTGACAGCTAAAAAATATTCTCATTATTAGAGGAAAATAATACATTTCTATTATAGAATGTAACAGAAGCACATATTTCATTATTTATCTGAAAAGAAGTCTGGTTAGATAATTCAGTGATCTGGGTTTTCTCTTTCTAATTATAAGTTGCTGCTTTTTCCCCCCAAAAGATATACACACCAATTCATTAAAAGTCTGATCTGGCAGTTAACTGGAGCACAAACCAAATAAGTTCAAGGAAAACCATGCAGATGCTAAAATTATCTGCTATAATGGCTATAGGAAAAAGCAGCAGTGTTTTGTAAATAATCAAGATCAAATAAAAAATTACTGGTGGACTCAATGACAGTGATAGCACACTTAGAATCTTTAGGAACAATAAATACATTACAGCACTTAAGATATTGTCTCCTATACCTGACTGCCTATAAAGACGACTAGGTGAGATAGTTTTGTTCTTTGTTGCTTAATCTCAATTCCTGATCTTTATTTAGGATATCTCTATCATCACCTTGTAGATTTTGACCAAATGCAAAGAATTCTGAGATCTAACCAAAATGAAGTAGTGGGCAACTTCGGTACAATCAACTTATTGCCCCATTTCAAAAAAAAAATTTGGCTAATCCTCACTAGAGGATATTTTTTCCATTGATTTTAGAGAGAGTGGAAGGGAGGAGGAGGAGGATAGAGGGGAGAGAGAGGGAGAGGGAGATGGAGATGGAGAGGGAGAGGGAGAGGGAGAGGGAGAGGGAAAGGGAGAGGGAGAGAAACATTGATGTGAAAGAGCCACATCAATTGGTTGTCTCCTACATACACCCCAATCGGGGCAAGGAACCTACAACCCAGTAACATACCCTTGACTAGAAACAAACCCAAGACTCTTTGGTTCACAGCTGACAGGGCCAACATTCCAACCACTGAGCTACGCCGGCCAGGGCTTATTGCCCCATTTTGTTCTTCTGCCATAGCTGCCAGAACGCTGAGGCTGGTTTCCAGACTCTATACACAATTGGGAGTATCCAAATTTTTAGATGAGACCCTCTCTGAAGTGGGATTCTAAGAAACAGGTTCTTTTACTATTTTCTCACTATTTCTGCAAAGAAAACTATTACATAAAATAAATTTGAATGTATTGCTAATATGTAAGAGAAAACATAGTTTAAAATGGGAAATTGATTGAAGCTGAACTCACCTGTCCACTTTTCCCTATTTCCAGCTCCATTATAGCAACAGGGGTGTGTATCTGAGCTGAGTGTCTCGACTGTGATTTACCATCAACTCTCCAGCTTAGGCCCCGAAGCCCACTGTCCCAGCGGCTCTGGTTCATCAGGCTCTCTCGGATCTTTGTCTTGTGACTCTTCCAGAATTTAGAAATGACAGCAGCTTGATCAGATGTGATCCCTCCTTGCTTTTTGGTTTGAGCAGTCAAGAATGCTTCCAGCTGGTTGAAATCCATGTCTGCAGATGCAACAGACTATAACGACAGAAAAAGTAATAATTTTGAATTTG